ACCCGTTCTGGTGCATAAAACTACATCATTTTTTCTCCAAAGATTTAAAGTGCAGATAAGATTTTATCTACTTTTTTAGGTTATTTTTTATGTTGATTGACAGTAAAACCAAAAAAAGAGTGAAAAATTCTTTGTAAGTGGCAATAATCCAAGTGGAAATGGAACTCGCTACTGAAACACTAATTAAGTAACATCTGTTAGAAAGACCACTGAATAGTAGACAGCACTGAACAGCTGTTTCATCCCAATTTGGGACTGTTCAACACTGAAAATACACGACCTCTCCAAGGCCAATCAAGTTATGGGACCAAGCTTGTTGACCATTCAGTTACTTGCACAGGAATTCAGTGACACATGTTATAACGCTAGCCTTACCAGTACCTTCTAAGAGGAAACACTTCACGACACAGTTAAAATTCAAGAGTCACTGAATTCAAGCCCAAGTGGTTGAATGATTAACAGGCTTCGTCTCAAAACCTGAAGGTTCAGGGTTCAATCCCCACTGGATTCATGGGTGGCTGCTGATGAAGAGTCTCCGGATGTTGGAGGAAACAGCTGTATATTAGTGCTTGGTTTTCGGTGGTCTCTTCAGCTTATTTTATTTCATGATGAAATCTAACAAATGAAAGTTGGTGAACCCAAATTTTCTCAAAATTCCACAATGTGAATGTAGAACATTGGCCGTCAAATAATAATTTTATCTCAGTCTTACTATTTCATTCTTTAAAAACTTACCATTATGATATGTATCCACATATATATATTTATGTGTGTGTGTGTGCATGTTGGTCTCTCTTTCTGTTTGCTCGGTTAGTCTGTGACCACTTCACTTGTGTGAACTTGTCTCCTTTACTAATGTATATTCTCCTTATATTATATTATATATAATATGAGTGTTTGTCGACAGTCCGTTGCTTGGTGACATATATCCATATATGTTTGTTGACATGTCTGCTATATTCGCTATGTATAATTGGATCGACACTCCATTATAATTAGCCATTCATGTTAAGACTGTCTAATGACTTTCCCACGCTTGTCTGAATTATTCATATATATATTCGCATTCACAATTTGTGTGAACTACTTTACTTTACAACTACTTTATTTGCTTACCACTTGGTGTGAGACCATTTATTTTTGTCTCCTTGTGTTTGGACAATAAAAGTATCATCGCAAACCTAGTGGTCTTCTGATTTTCGCCTTCTCGCGTCAGGACTATTAGTTTCTCGACCAGACCATAACAATAATTCAGCGACGAGTACATAACACATTATTAATCATTCTTTCTGTTTTGAGTGGAATATACGACTTCAGACGCAAATCTTGGTTGTATCTCTCTAACTCTGCCATTCATTCCAGCTGATGACATCAAAACTGCCTATAAGTTTACATTCCCTCCTCATATAATCATCTTTATGTCAAATTCGGTTACTCAACTTATTGCTTCTAATTTCCAAGTATCGGTTTCGGCTTTGTGGGGAACATTGTTTGATTAGTTGGGGGATTTCATCAGTTAGAAAACCATTGGAACACCAACTGGGAGTACTGGACAGCTGTTTCGTCAGCCTAGTTTCAGACTCTTATTCAGCAGTATGTACCCACCAACAGGGTTCAAATTCAGGACGCTCTAGTTACAAGGCGAGTTAGCTCGTAGACCATTAAGCCACTGGGAGCCAATCCAACAGCCCGTCCATGAATTCTAGTTTCTGCCAATTCATGACATAGCGTGACCACTTCGCAATGTTTTCTTTGGTGAGTTGGTTACTGTCTCACCTGGTGACTGTGCAGAAGGTATATGTATGTGTATATTTGAGTTCGCCGTTCAAAGGAGATACAGCCACCAAATTACTGACATCCAATGTCTAAAAAACAATAGATAAAACATTATTTGCCCCAACACTGTGTTTAAAATTCACCACTTGTATACATCCATCCCAGATACAGGCTAAGCTGCTGAGTCTGGTTAATTTAAAATCCACTTATAAATTTGAATGTTCTTCGAGGGACAGTTGCATAGTCAGAACGACTCAAAAAGCTCACTTTCGCCTTCTTGAGCACAATCCAATATGGTTAGGTAAAGGAGTCGTAAAGCCAATGAGGAGTTCAATATTGTCACACCTCGTGGAGCACAAAATTGGTAAAAGTTAAGTCTTTAAATTCCTACAAAATGTGCCACCTCAATGCCCCAAGTTTGTACGCCTTCAGTTGCTAAGCATAGTGGACTCAGGTGCCATAAAGAGAAAAAATTTCAATTCAGTTTCTTTGCTCCGAAAAAGTCAGTTCAATCCTTATCCTTTCCTTACCCTTTACTCCCAACAAAAAATAGTTATTTATTCATATTTTTAATGTCAACTGTATTATCAATATTATTCTGTGCTGTACTTGTGTGGTGGTGTGATACAGACAGTGTGTTTCAGTTGAATATCGCTCTTACATATTCCCACACTTCAATACTGCATTAGCAGCAGGATAATATATATTTATTTGAACATTCTACTTCATTTCGTGGAATGTAAACCAAAATCACACGCTCAGTGATTGCTTAAAGAATATAAACTGTAGAGATAATAAACAGCAGTTTTATCTCTTGAAAATCTACCTCACTTTCTGCGTCTTGCATTCTGCTGTCATAGTTATACATTTTGATCTCTGTTTCACAATTTATCATTGTATTATCTAATTGCTATGTGGCAACTACATCACTACTACGGGGTGCCACCGACAATTATACATCTCATCCAACAGTTGTACGACAATGCTGCATGACAAGTAATCCACAACGGGAAACTTACAGAAGCCTTCGAAGAAGTGGGGACGGGAGTAAGGCAAGGCTGTCTACTATCGCCAATGATTTTCCTGATTGCAGTAGATTGGATAATGCCACAGACAGCGCCGGGCAATGAGGAAACGGGCATTAAATGGACTCACACAAAAAGAGACTTGGAGGATCTGGACTTCGCCCATGCGATATATGTCTGATTTCCCACAAACTGGAAGATATGCAAGTGAAAAGCAACAAGCTGGCAGAAGAAGCATCAAACATAGGACTTCAAGTGAACATAGAGAAAAGAGAAGTAAGTGATGAAGATTCTTGGCCAACACTAACAGCAGGAACAACAACAACAGACAACAATCAGCCAGCATAAATGGGAGGAACCTGAAAGAAACAACCTTCTTCACCAACCTACCCACCTACCTGGGAAGCATCGTTTCAACTACAGGCCAGGGGAACTGACGAGGATATCAAAGCAAGGATAGGGAAAGCAAAGCAAGATTTCATTACTCTGAAGTCAGCATGATGGTCAACAGCACTCACCATCAAAAATAAGATCAATATTTTCAACTCCAATGTGAAGTCAGTGCTACTTTATGGATCAGAGACTTGGCGCGTCATAAACAGCACCTCAAACAAACTACAGACCTTCATCAACATCTTTATTCGCTCAGTACTCAAGATCAGATGGCCGGCCAGAAAAGATCACCAACAGGGATCTCTGGGAATGAGCGAGCCAACTCAGTAGGAACCGATCGGGAAACTAACAAGCAGGAAGAAATGGAGATGGATTGGCCATACGCTGAGGAATCCATCAAGTGACATCACTAGACAAGCCGTCGCTCGAGTGGAACCCGAAATGGAAGTGGCGAGTTGGTCTTCGGTGCAAGGGTGACTTAGAGGAGGTCATGTGAAGAGAAGTTGAAAGAATGTGGGCAGACTTGGAGCGGGGTGAAAAAGTTGGCAGAAAGCCGAACGCAATAGAGACGCGCATCTGAAGCCCTATGTTCCTCTAGGAATTAAAGGAAATAATGATGATAATAATGTGATAATAGTTATTTTCCCCTACCTCTCCTACTAGCATACGCATACTTGGATTGTATAAAAAATTGAATAAATTTACCATTGTTATTACTATTTTTATTATCGCCACCTTCACTAATATTATGTTTGATTCTACTGACCTACATGGTTTCAAGTACCTATGAATAATGTGGCCAGAAAGAATTAGCATCAAGAAACTCAGGCTGGTAACAAACCCACAGGCGAGTGACAATGGCTCAATAAATATGTAGGAGAAAATGGAGATGGAGTGATCAGGTATAGATTGAGGAGAACATCGAATGAAATCGCGCTTAATGCAGGTGATTGCTCGAGTAGAAACCTGATGACAAACGGCGAATGAGTCATCCAAGGCTGACGTGGAGGAGATCGTGCCAGGAGGAGATGACAGATCATAGGCAATTGTGGTCCAGCTGATGAGGAGACAAGAGAATAGAACAAAGTGGAGATGTGTTGTTGAAGCTGGATGTGTTGTTCCACTCAGGACCCAAAGGGACTTTAATAATAATATTTTATTATTTGTCATTGAGATGAGAATTTTCTCCTTAATACGTGTTTGTTTAAATCGTGTTCTGAAATTATCAAGAACAGGTAAAAGTCGAAGGGCACTTCATTACTTTTTCCAGTCTTGCTTAGTCTAGGAAAAAGGTACACGATAGACTTTGGATTTATAAAAGTGTATACGATCTAAGTAGGTCTAAGGGTGATGATCACTCTGTCACTCATTACCTTAGTATCTCATTCCTGTAATGTGTGTGTGTGGTTCATAATTTATGTTGGTGTAATAGAAAAGATTTGTAACTCAGGTGGATGATTTGGAATTGATAGTGTTCTCTGAGCTCCTTGGTTTAATTGCGGAGCTTTCATCGTCTTTCTGGACGACATCTTCAGCGCAGTATTTATCCTAAATACCGCGCTGAAGATGTCGTCCAGAAAGACGATGAAAGCTCCGCAATTAAACCAAGGAGCTCAGAGAACACTATCAATTCCAAATTATGTTGGTGTGTTAGGCGGAATGACTCTCCTACTATAAACTATAACTACCCGCCCGAATAAAACAGCTAACAGTAATGCATATAAACAAATTTCATTGACCATTGAACACTCTTCAGAAAAATGTATGCCTTCATATAAACACCTTCTTTTTTCCAATAACTTTTAGATTCAGCGACATGAACAAGAATTAATCAATGAATTACATCAATTCATCGGTGAACGTAATATGCGTCAAATACAAAATCAACCAGATCAAGAACATCATATTGAAATTGCGGAGAATTTATTCAAAGATATTGCTAATTCATTAGACAATCAGGATATGGAACTATTGTTGGCTAGAACAACTTTATATCAAAAAATTGCTGAATTGAATCAACTGAATTTAATCACTGAAAAATTCAATCCAATCACAGCACAGATCTATTTTAGACCAGGTAGTGTTAATTTAGGCTATTTAACAAATGAAATGACTGTGAAGAATATGAATACAGTGAATCATGATGATGATGATGATGTGGTGGATGAAGCCGGTGATGGAGATGACGATGATGATGACGATAACGACGACGATGATGATGACGAAGAGAATTATGAAGATTTATCAATGCCATTAGAGTGTGCTTCATCATCAAGCAGTTCACCTGCATCATCACTAGAATTAGCTAATCGGTAAGTTGTTGACTATCAGAATCCAAGGGTTTATTTGTTTTATTTTATTTCTGTTTTTAAATTCAAAAACAGGCGGCCTGTTTAAGACCTAGGTTACCAAAATACGCAATCATTACACTGCATATAATTTCGCTTGTTCACTTTGTTTTAATCTATTAATAGCATGACCTGTAACTGTATTGTTTACTTTCGCGAGTATTTAAAATATTTACGATCTCCTGGTTAGCAGTTTATTAGTAAAATTGAGAAAATGTTTAGTCGTAGATGGCGGCTTATATCAGTATATGAGACAACTGTTCCTGAGATTTTTAGTGCAAACTACGACCACCTAAAAGATGAAACGAATTACCCGCATTCATCAATTATTTAGCTATTATCGTGTTTCTTGGGTAGGAGAATGTACTCTTGCCTCTTTTTTAAGTGGGTTTCAACCAGGTGTCGTGCATTTCTTGAAGGACAAAAAGAAAAAAATATCATAAGGGATCTACAGTCATACCTACAGTCATCAGTGATACAGCTATCAATGATAAATTCACCATACCACAAATTATCACAGTGGCTAAATGAATTATTGCAGGCCTTAATAAAACGTTTTCGAACATATATAGTTTCTGATTCATTTCAGTTTGTCAAGCAAATTTAAGATTTTAATGTATCTGACAAGCATCTGCCCTCTTTCAATGTTATGTCTCTCTTCACAAATGTAGAGAAGCTGAAGACATACCCATTCCAAAGTGAAAATTGAGGAAATTGTTACTTTTATGTACTAAAGACTTTCAATTGCAATTCGACGGGCGTCTATTCCGTCAAGTTGATGGTGGGAAGTGGGAAGCCCCTTGATACCCTTGTCAGGCCTAGAAGCTGGCGCCTTGCAGCAACATATACAAGAAACGGATGTATACCTAAGATATGTTGATGACATTTTTTTGTCCGTGGAAGCAGATCAAAAGCTGAAGACATGCTGATAAAATTCAGCTCATACCACCTGAATCTTAATTTCACAATTAAACACGAGGAAAATGATACTATTAAATTCCTAGACGTCTTTCTAGTGAAAAGGACTGATGGCACAATCGAAAGATCTATATTGAGAAAGTCTTCATGGACATGACAGTACATACATTTCAAGAGTTTTGTTCCAATCCAGTATAAAAAGAACTTAGTCAGAACACTGTTCAATAGAGCATGGAAAATTTACCCTGACAGTACAATTGAGTATGAAATAAAATCTCTGAAGGATATTTTATCTAAGAATGGATATCCTGAGAAGTTCATTAATAAATTTTCTAAAGAAACTACCCCCTGCAAAACAATTCAAACAGTTCCAAAGAAACCTGTCTATATCAATTTGCCGTTCAAAGGAGATGACGTACAGGAAGTAATGAAACGAAGACTCGACAAAGCCATCAAGAGAACTTATTATGCTGCAAAACGTGTTATCCTTGACACCGCCAAGCGAGTGCTTCAACAATCTGGGAAAGACCAGTCGCCAGTCCTGGACACTTCAAACTGCGTATATCAATTTGAGTGTGTTTGTGGCAGCAAATACATACATAGGTCGTACGGAAAGGCGATTGTCTACTCATCGCATGATGGAGTATTTGCCGAAATGGTTGAAAACAGCTGAATGCAAAGTGCCAAAATTCACAATAACAAAACATCTTGTGGACTATGGAGATGCTATTGACACTGTCAAGTCATTTACTATTGTCAGCAGACAAAGAAACAGGAAGGTACTTGCAATTGCCGAGGCTTGTGCAATTCGAGTTTATAAACCAAAAGGAGATAGTCGTCACTCTGAATCTACCATGGTAATATGTTTTACTTCTTATTCTACCTATTATTATTATCATTATTCTTGATTCATTTAAAACTATCCTATACCAGTAGTATTATCTTAACTCGCTTCAACATTATTATTATTGTAACTATTACTATTGGTATTACTCTGTTTGCAATTATTGATATATTCTCTAATCACTAATTACTTATCTGAGTGATGTAATTGAAGCGTAATACATTTTATCTTAGTTTTAATCTCTCATACTCCATCTGTTCTTATCTATTCGAACATGACCTGGAAAACATTCGCACTTGTCTTTCTGCATGACTAATTCAATGTAGTTTATTTGCTAATCAGTCTTATATCTCCCAATGTAATTTCGAAAGTATATATGTATCCGTGTATGTAGAGTATTCAGCTAACGAGTTCTACCCAAATTTGATAAATTCATTAAAGCCTGCTTTATTAACCTTTATTGCTTGTTTTAAATTCGTATCGGAAAATAAATGTTTTCAATTCAGATCTACAGTTGATGACTACTTTACTTGAAGATCGTGGACATTAGGAAATTATTGTTCAATCAATTCCACTGAAAATTTTGCACGTTGTGTATTTACTGTTCAGAATAAAGCTATTATTATCCATCAAGAGCCAACATTATTTACAGGTGGTTGGAAACTAGGAAGCATTAGACGGCAATGTCGCCCTTGTTTTGGACTTTTCAGTAGCATGTACTCACGACGAAGCCAAAGAGTTAAACCCATGATCTTACCGTTACGAGATCAAGCTCGACTGTCATCCAGCCATTTGCGCTGGGATTCAGTGACCCATGAACCCTAACTTTGTTATCTCGTGATATATCGTGCTGTCTTCAACCAATGCCTTCAGTGTGCATACATGGTGGAACCCAGTGGTCATGACGTCTTAATACAGATTCAGGACATCCATCCATTGTCCATCAATGGACTCGGGACTGATATTCTGTTTTTTACATTTCTGTCCTCATTGAATCCCTTTAATGAGGAGACGTTTAGTCAGCGGTGTTTTTAAAATGCTCAGATACAACTGATATTGAGTCCTATTTTGGGGCTCTTCAATATTACTCACCAATCGGGCATGAAACGTTTCCAGGATCTTCAGGTTACAATTCTACCTGATTAACCATTCGACCACTTAGACGAGAACTAATGGATCATAAATTCTAACTTCTGCTAATTAGGGACTTAAAGCGCGACCACCAGCCGCTGTCATCTGCTACCTTATGTCGTCATACCCAATATAGTGGATCTTACAGGACATGACTTCTCACTAGATCTCTAGGCGACTTCGTACTGTAGTTAGTCAGTAGTAAGTATCAGAATAATTTTCGAGATGAGTAATTATCCATCGCTTATATCAATCTTAAAAAAGGGTGAAAGGACAGTCCAGTATATTCAGGTCCCGTTGATCTAGCAAGGGCTAACAAGTGGTACCAGTGGATATTTGGTGATATACTGCTACTCATATCAGTCAATCAGTAGTATATAGCGTCATGCAGCGAAGACACGACTCTAAGTGAACATAGAGAAGACGGAAGTTATGAAGACAACCAGCTAACAACAACAGCAGCAATAACAATAACCAGCACCAATCACCACCAACGGGAGAAATTTAACAGACGCTTCGTCGTTCACTTATCTAGGAGGCATGGTTTCAAATACAGGCAGCCGGAACGGATGAAGATGTCAAAGCCAGTCAGAATCGGAAAGGCAGGATACACCTTCATCAATTTTAAATCAGTTCGGAAAACTTCTACATTCAGGATAAGAAACAAGATTCAAATTTTCAACATCAATATCAAGTTGGTCCTTCTATACGGGTGAGAAACTTACGCTGTGAGACACATAAAGCACTCCTAACAGCCATTGACGAACTTGCATTAACAGTTGCCTTCGCTGGCTCCATACTAAATATCAAATGGTCAGAGAGAGAATCAGTAACAAGAAACTCTGGTTGGTTATAAACCGACGGGCGAGTGACGATTGTTCAATAAATATGTAGGAGAAAAAATGGAGACGGCTTGATCAGGCATACAATGAGGAGACCATCAAATGAAATCGCGCGCAATGCAAGCGATCGCTGGAGTAGAATCTCGATGGGAAACAACGAGTGGGTCATCAGTGCAAGGGTGACATAGAGGAGATCATGTAGCGAGTTGTAAGAAATGAGAGATTATGGTTCATTCATGGACCCAGATGAAGAGGACGCAAGGAAATAGACGAAAATGGAGATGTGTTGTTGAAGCCAGCCCTATGTCCCACTCGGAACTCAAGGCAATAATTATAATTGTTATTTAGTTAGTTAGAAGAGGTCATTCGTCACATTCTGCCTATTATTCTCTATTGTTGCCCCTTAGTTTTTCCTCGGCTACTGAAGAAAGAGTATACCTTATTACGCAGGATGTTAAAGGTTGTCAGCAGGTGAAGCCACAGGGTGCCACTTAACCAGCTTGTTAATATTCTGGTTGACAGGCACTTGAACTCATTTAAAAAATGGGCTAAATCCATTTTATCGATCTAACTCCCACTACCACCCTGTGCATTCACAGCTCTCCCCCTGTATCTATCTCATCAGGCAGAACCAGAAGCCTATATAGAAAACTATATTCTCGCATTAGCAAGTACAAAAGCCCAACTCAACCATGCCCTACTTAGCTCGTGTTCTGTGCGATAAAGAAAGCATTAGGCGTGATACCTATAATTTATTAAATAGTCAGTAGAACAACTGGATCTCGACTTTCTAACTCATATCATTTATAGGTACAACGTTTTCTTTCTTTCTTTTCCTTTTCTCTCTTTTTTTGCTGTTATGTGCCGCTTTGTTTCTTTCCTCCGCTTACGCCAGTAAATATGCTAGTATCTACCTTTCTAACACCTTCAAACACTCTATTCAATTTCGGCTTCGCCATCGACATGCCAATATGTTGTTGTCAAAATGTACTGAGATTACCTATAATCTATGTAGAACTTTATTTATTGTTAATATATAAACTGGATGCAATACTGTATGTAGTGATATGCTGAGAATTCCATTCTGTATCACAAGTACTGTTTTGGAATACAGCAAATTATTATTATTATTATTATTAATCATTCTCTTGCTAATAATATTTAATCATATTTATTCTCTAATATTTTAATTTCGCAGACCATGTATTAATTCAACAGCTTGTCAAACTGATATTACACTCAGTGATATAAATGAATCCAAAGATTCGTGTATTTATAAACTTCACCATCATGAACAACAAAATGGCGATCAATCAGTCAGTAGTCAACCCGCCATTAAACAATATCGTACACGTGCATGTAATACAGACACAATCGCCACAGTTAATCAAGAGACAAATACACGTCCACGTGGGATTCATACAATCATCACATATTCGGATATATCATCAAATACAACCTCTGAAGAATATCTTGCTAAATTAGATACAGATAAATTAAATCTAAATGATATGGATAATTTAACAAGAGCTAGAGTACGTCGTAAACTTCATGAACGTTTTAATACATTTGATCAAATACCAAATGGAAATAGTTATAATAGTAATAGTAGTACTAGTAATAATAATAATAATAATAATAGTACTAGTAATCGTAATACTACTACTAATGGTCATTTAAGTACAATAACAACAACATCACATACCAGTGGACTACATTTTTCATCCAACGGGCCATCACCAGCTCGATCAACACATTCATCAAAGACGACTACTGTTAACCCTCATCGTAATCATAATAGTCAACATCTACAACATCATCCACAACAGCAGCATGATGCTCTACCAAGACGTTATAGTTCTTATGATAAACGCTATCATTATTAAACTCCATACATATATATATATATATGTATTCAAATTTCAATGGTTTCCATAGATATTTGTTTAAATACACTATTGTTATTCATACATCACAAAAAGAAGTACTCGAGAATGTAATTGATATATATACATACATACATACATACATACATATTCAACTTCATCTCGATGACGATCATGGTGATGGTGATTGCGTTATTTTGTGACTGATGATAAGTATTATAATTAGTAAACATTATCAATTAATAATTTAAGATGCATTTTGATTTTATTCACAAAGTAATTTAAAATAAATTTTGAAAAAAACAACAACCAAAAATCAATGTTACTTGCCTTTTTGTTTTAATTCCAATTGAAAAATGAGCGCGTTGAATGAAAAGTTGAAGCAAAGAAGAAAACTCATTTTTTTAAATGAGGGTTCCATCAAGAGTTGAATAGTAACATAATACTAAGAAATTATTAGTACTTAGCTAAATGTATACCATTATTAAAAACAGGTCATGTATTGGCTTCTAGGGATTTGTTTGATTTCATCATGATATGACATCGGTTAGAGAACCATTGGAAAATCGACTAGGATTACTGGATAGCTGTTTTATCCTAGTTTGCAACCCTTCAACAGTAGGAACCCACAGCCAGGGTTCGAAATCAAGACCTTCTGGTTACAAAGCGAGTTAGCTCGTAGACTATTAAGCCACTGGGACCCGATTCAATAGCCCGTCCATGAATTCTAACTTCTGCCAATTCATGGCAAAGCCAGACTGCCTCGCAATGTCTTCTTTGATGAGTTAGTTACTACCTCACCTTCAGCCTGCAGTACCCTACTGGTCACAGCTTCCCTCTAGAACCTCAGGTTAACTGCCTGAATAGGTTCAGTCACTAGTGAGCATTTCATCAATATTCAGATATCGGTCTGTAGGGATTGGGTGTTAGCTGATGATGAAATCCTGTAATTAAATAGTAGGTTAGTTAGGGAAGTACTGAACTGTTTCTTTTGAAGACCTTAGCTTTCTGTTAGACTTAGTTAGACCATGATTCATTACAGGCATTTATTTAGTCAATCCTATGACTAATTGATGTCACCCACTATATCTGTCATCGATTTACCATAAAAGTTAAAATGAACTTCACATCGTTATTATGATTAATAATATTTCATTGAGTTCCAAGTGGGGTATATCTTTATTTTATCCACTTTTCTACAGTCCCTTTTAGCTGGCACCTGGAATGCCCATAGAGTGTCACTTTCTCCTCCCACGATCTTCTTCATGTCACCCTCAGATGCATAACTTATCGTCTTCCATTCGCGTTCCACTCAAAGATCTCATCAGGTTTTGTCATATCCATCTCCATTTCTCTCAGCATATTTACTTGGTAATGGGTTTTTGGTTGGTTCCTTACCAAAATATCGTCTTGCCAGTTCTTTTGTGGCTGGTCCTCTGATCTTTCGTATAGAGCAAAGACAGTTGTTAATAAAAGTCTTAAGAGGCATGTTGTAAATGCCTTTTTCATACGCCACGTCTCTGAACCATATAGATGTTTTGACTGACTGACGGAATCGTAAACCTAATGTTTAGTGCAGTAGATTTGTTTAAGGCTTTCAGATTAATGAAGGCCTGTGATAACTTTCCCATCCTGGATGGTTTGGAAATCCTCGTTTGCGCCACCTGTAGTTGAGAAGACGCTACTGAGATAGAAGACAGAAATGATTTCCTTTCCGTTGATAGCGACTGGTGCATGTTGTTGTTGTTGGCTAGTTATGTTCATCACCTCTACCTTCTCTGTGTTCAACTGAAATCCTGCATTTATTACCCGCCTCTTTTGCCCACTCCTTCGATTTTGCCTGTAGATCTTCGAGTTTGTGTGATGTCAAACATAAATAGTCCACGAAGTCGAAATCTTTGAGAATCGTCTTGCCAGTTCAACGTATTCTTGTATCCTCGACCCCACATATGCTTATAACGCGTGATCCATTCCACCACGGTCAGAAATAAAAAGAATGATAATAGACAGCCCCGTTTTATTCCTGTCTCCCCTTCTCTGGCGTCTCTGAGTTTTCCTTTGTGAATTACGACATGTGGCGGCATCCCACAGTGTGTTGAAGCAGTTTCCAAATCCCTTCTCAGGTCAATTATATAAGAAATAGAACTTGGGCACTGTAATAGATTATAATTCCATTATGGGTCAATTTTGTTTTGATAAAGTCTCACAGTGCTGTTATTTAGTAATATTTACTGATGACCGTGTTTCGAGCACAATTTATTACTACTTATAATCATATCAAGGCACTACTCACACAACTTTCTAACTTTGTTCAATATAATTCCATTATTTTTCATCCCTTGACTTGGTTGGTCATAGTATTTTGCATATTTCCGGTATGAGTGATTGCATTCTATTGCACGTGTTGGGTGTAGAATCCATGGACAAGGATTCAGAAACCAACCTCTGTCCTCTTTACCCACCTAGATTACTTCTTAGAATTTTAACCCTCTCCCACCACGCTATTGTGTGGTTGTGTGTTAATGCATGCAGTGTAATGCAGTTGCTGAGCTTTTTTCTAAATTATTTATCTTACCTTGTTCATTGATTCTACACCCAACACGTGCAATAGAATGCAATGACTTATCACTCATACTCACTTAAAATCCTGTCTCCGCTGCCTCTTCGTCCAAATTGTTTGTTCTCACTCATAAATGTTCTATTTTGTATGATACTAGACATTAATCATCTGCGAAAGCCAGATCTTCTATAGTCTGCTTGTCGGTTCAAAGAATTCTTGTCTATGATGTATTAGTCAAATTAAACGACAAAGTCTGCTTCCATCACTACTGCTCTTTCGTATATTCTTTTAACTTTCACCATTGTAATAATATATCTTCTGAAGTCTAAAGAAGACATAAAGTTTACTCAATTATGTCATTTCGTAGCTTAATACTCGTCCACTATCCCAGTGTATTCGTTGTATGACATCAAAATCATATATCATATATCCTTCTTCTAAATTACTTCAGTGTACAGTCAGCGTACTGCATTTTGCATTGGCTGGCGGCCTGCTGAAAACTTGGTCTACCAAAAGCTTCCATCTTTCTGTTACATATGTTTTCTCTCTTTTGGTTTACTTTAATCGATTAATTTTGATAGCGTTACTAGAAGACGGAGATTATCTGAAAAATGTGGTGTATTTGCGCTATACATTTCAAACAGTCTGATCACACATTTACTTGTCAAGTTGATATAAATGAAAAAATTAAGGGCAATTAATTGGTTACAGGATTTCATCATGAGCTGATATCAGTTAGAGAACCATTGGAAAATCCGGGAGTACTGGACAGCTGTTTTGCCCTAGTTTAGGACTCTTCATCAATACGCACCCACCAACACGATTCGAACCCAGGACCTTCTGGTTACAAGGCAAGCTCCCATACCATTAAGCCACTGGGACCCTATCCAATGGCGCATGAATTCTAACTTCTGCCAGTTCATGATATAGCGCAACCACTAGCGAATGTCTTCGAAGAGTATTTGTCCTCAAACCCGACCTGCTGTAACCTACTGGTCAAAACTTCCCACTGGAGTACGTGAATACCAATGAAATGCCCACTGACGACTGGTCCATTTCAGGTAGGTAGTTACCTGGGGTTGCAGTGGGAAGTCGTGATCAGTAGGGTGCAGCAGGTCGGGTGTGAGGACAAATACTCGCCACCGAAGACATTGCCTAGCGGTTGCGCTATATTGTGAATTGGCAGAAGTTAGAATTCATGCGCCATTGGATAGGGTCCCAGTGTCTTAATGGTATGGGAGCTTGCCTTGTAACCAGAAGGTCCTGGGTTCGAATCGTGTTGGTGGGTGCGTATTGATGAAGAGTCCTAAACTAGGGCAAAACAGCTGTCCAGTACTGCTAGTTGGAGTTCCAATGGTTTTCTAACTGATATCAGCTCATGATGAAATCCTTTAACCAATCAACCAAATCCCTACAAATCAATACTTAAATAAGGGCAATTAAATTAGGCAAAGTGACAAAAAAAGATTCAAGAACGATTAACACAACGTTTGGTAATCCAATCAAATAAGGATACCAAGGTAGGTTAAGAGTAATAATAAAATGTTTTTGAATACACAGGGAGGGGGAGGCTTAAGTTTATGAGTAACTAAAGCCTCAGCGTATTTCAGTAAGCGTTCTTGACCGCTCTTATAGGTGACCTTAAAGGCTGAGTTAACATCAATCTTATGGTTCATCTCGAATAGATGTTTAGCTATAGACGAAGTTGGTAGTCTGACACCTGCATCTATTGGTTTTCCACAATTCATTTGTTTTTCTAATCATTTCGGAATATGCTATCCCACCCTCACATGCAAAGCGCGATGACTTCTCCCTATGTATGTGTGTTCACACACACACACACACGAAAATTGGTAGATAGGGTGGGGTGTGACATAATCACTTGTACACCTTTGAGGTTTGTAGTGGAGCATATTTTTGGCTTTTTCGAGAATTACATACTGGGCTGCATAATAGGTTCTACGGATGATCGAATTCTACCTTTGTCCCAAAATCCTACTGTTTATTTCCCCGTTACATGGTAATTTGATGAAAACATTTTTCTTAGGGACGGTATGGATTGTAGGTTTAGAGACTAATTGACTTCTACACCTGTTTAAAAATTTTAAAGGATATCCGTCTTCAAAAAGAGTATCCATCAATATTTCGTTTTTTTTTGTCTATAACATCAGCCGTGCATATACGTTGAATCCTCTTAAATAGACAGAAACTGTGAAAATTAAGGTACTGCCCTGTCCAAGTAGGCTTTCTGTAGATTGGTCGTCATATTGAACCGTCGTCTCTTCGACTCAGATGTATGTCTAAAAATGCAAGCTGGTTGCGACTTTCTTCCTCGCATGTAAGACTAATATGATTCTGTACAGAGTTAAGTCTGTCTAATAGACGACTCGCATCTTCATTCATGATCGTCACATATCGAAATGATATCATCTTCATATCT